GGAGTCTAATCAATTCTAAGTCCAAAACCAAAGCCTAAAGTGGGCCACACTATGTGTGGTGGCATATGCCTGTAATCCCAGCACTCAGGAGGCTGAGGCAAGAGGATGCTAAGTTTGAGGGCAGCCTCGTTTCTTTAAAACATTTTTAAATTGTTATTGTAAAGGTGATGTACTGAAGGGTTACAGTTACATAAGTCAGGTAAAGAGTACATTCTTTTTTTTGGAGGGGGGGGTCCAGTCGTGGGGCCTGAACTGTGGGCCTGGGCGCTGTCCCTCAGCTCTTCAGCTCAAGGCTAGCGCTCTACCCCTTGAGCCACAGCGCCACTTCTGGCTTTTTTCTTTTCGCTTATGTGTTGCTAAGGAATCAAACCCAGGGCCTCATGCATGCAAGGCAAGCGCTCTACCACTGAGCCACCTTCCCAGCCCAAGAGTACATTTCTTTTTGGATAATGTCACGCCTTCCCTTGCTCTCTCCCCAGCCTGGATTTTATAATGAGATCCTGTCTCAAAATCTCTAAAAGAAATTGGGTTTCATTGGCTCATGCTTGTAATACTAGCTACTCAGGAAGCTGAGATCTGATGATCACAGTCAGACAAAACTGACAGACTATCTCCAATAAACAGGAAAAAAAAAAAAGTAGAAGTGAAGCTGTGGCTCAAATGGTAGAGGGCCAGCCTTAGGCAGAAACCTAAAGAACAGGGCTCAGGCCCTGAGCTCAAGCCCCAGAACCAGCACACAGTAAAAAAAGAGTCAGCTTTTGGGTAACCTCTTGCAGGACACACTTACACGTGCCCAGGACATCAGTGACGTCAGCCTGTCACCCTGCAGCACCGGGCTACTTCATTCAGAGATGCTCCTAACATTTTCTCGTGTTTCAGACCCTGCGCCAGATTCCAAGCTGCTGAAAGCAAGGAATGTGTCTTATTGGCCTCCTTCTTCCCTGACGCATTTTTGAGACAATAAATATTAGACCATATCATTGCTATTTTTCCCCCTTTTATCTTCAAGTGCCAAAATTAGTTCTGTCCCTCCAGTAAGAGGACTTCCATCAAGTCTTCTTTAATGACCGGAGCACTGCTCTCCTGAGCCCTTCCAGCTTACAATGTCAGCAGCCAGCCAGGAGAGAATGAACTTTTTTTTTTTTGCCTGACCAGAAGCTGCACTAGGTGCATGGCAAATATTTCCTAGTGAAGAGTAATCAAATGAATCTGTGTTCCTGCCAAGTATCACTTTAGATCCCTGAGCACTGTGGTCCCAGGCAAGCCCAGCCATGGAGGACCAGCTGACCCGGGTCCCCCCATAATCCCCCACAACTGTCGAATGTATCACATCTCATCAAGAGCTACAATGCTCCTGCATTTTTATTTTGTTTTCATGATAAAATAGAACTCCTGTTACACCCAGGTAAGGATACAACATCGGCCCCTGAGCATTGGGATTACAAACTTGCACCCCTGGGCCCAGTTTTTCTGTTCATTTTGGTAATGATTCTGAAAATTCTGTCTGGTGTTCTATACAGACAATCATATCTACATGAGTGAGTCTATTTCTTTTTTTGGGGGGGGGGTCCGGTCGTGGGGCCTGAACTCTGGGCCTGGACGCTGTCCCTCAGCTCTTCAGCTCAAGGCTAGTGCTCTACCACTTGAGCCACAGCGCCACTTCTGGCTTTTTTCTTTTTGTTTATGTGGTGCTGAGGAATCGAACCCAGGGCCTTGAGCATGCAAGGCAAGCGCTCTACCACTGAGCCACCTTCCCAGCCCGAGTGAGTCTATTTCTTAAATCCAAACCTTACACCTTCCGTCCTTCCTTCCTTCCCTCCCATTCTTTTCTTCTTTTTTGTTCAGGTACTGGGCTCCTTCCCTTAGCTTTGTCACTCAAGGCTGACACTTTATCACATAGGCCACAGCTCCAATTGCATTGTGTGTGTGTGTGTGTGTGTGTGTGTGGGTGGGTGGGTGTGTGTGGGTGTCTGTGTCTGTGTGTCTGTGTGTGATTAAGTGGAGCTAAGACTCTCATGGGCTTTTCTGTCCCGGCTGGCTTCAAATTGTGATCCTCACACTGCAGCCTCTTGAGTAGCTTTTTGTTTTGATTTTATTCTATTAATAAATAATCATTATTAATCCATTTCCCTGTTAACCTCATCTTAGATCACTGGGATTATGGCCACATTGTTGTGCTGTACAGTATTATCATTTTTGTAGCTTGCTAGACTGTTTATATATTTTTTACATTTCTATACTCCTGAGTATAATGAAACTACATGTTTTTCTTCCTTATATTTGTTGGGGGAGGGGAGGCTGCCCTCTTAGCTACTGCTCCAGCCAATAAGAAACTGATCTGGGGTGTTAAGATTCTGCCAGCCTCTTATGAGCTGGAGAGTTGTCTCTTTCCATTTTCTGATAGGATAAAAGGACGGATCTGCTCCTTAGCCATCCGTATGTTAATACTCACCAGTGAAGCCATCTTAGTATGCTCTCTACCCTCTCCCAAGTAGGGCTGACAGGAGACAGGGTCACAATTCATGCTTTACTCAGAACTCAGTACCTCTGTTTCCCCTGAGTAAGAGTCCAATCTGAAATGAAGTCAGAAAGGCTGCTAGTTACCTCTGCTCCTATTTTCACACCCTCAGGCCCCTAAAGAGGGTTGAGTCAGTCACCGTTAACCTTCCCTCTTCCCCGAAGTCTCTGGGGGCATATCCAGAAGGTCCCACAGCCAGGTTTGGGGAGCATATTTTATCAACAGTTGTGATAAGGTTTGTCTCCTCAGGGACCCCTCCTTGTGCTTTTCTGAGCCTCTTTCCTGGGAGCCAGGCCTGGTCCAGGGATTACCACTAGTAGGCACTCTTGCTGTTCCTTTTTACTTCTTACTTTGATTAAAACCCACTCCACGATGTCCAGACGCATTGTACAGAGGGAACAGCCAGATGTCTTAATTAAGTCAGCCATTCGGGCAACAGAGATTTTTCCCAATACATCTGAAGGAGAGAAATATTCTCTCAGAGACATCTCATCTCATCTGCCCAGGGAGGGGCTGGCGAGGCGCACACAGACATTCCCGGCATTCCTCCACCTTCCCCGGCCCCACCAGATGGCACGGAGATTTTGGGAGCTTAGGACGGCCCCACCCCACCCACTCCTTTCTCCAGGGTGTCTTTGCCATTCCCAGCTGTCACCCAGGCCAATAATAACCTATGGAGGCCAGGTGGCCCAGAAGCCCTGGCTTAGCACGGCGAGGACAGCCCCCTAACCCTCCCTCTCCCTCAGCCCCTCTGTTCCTGGGAGATCACACTTCCCAGCGGGAGAGGGGAGGCGCCAAGAGAGGAAAGATCCTAGGTCCAATGCTCATCACTCCTGCCTTGCCCTGCCCACTTGACCCTGACTTTCCTCTAAAGCAGAGCAGCTGGGCCACCAAGACTCCAGCCCACCCTAACCAGCCTAGACCCACCGGCTGCTGGCCTTGTCTTACTGAGGTCAAGCACAGCCTTCGGTGCACTGCCCCAACCTCCATCCCACCTCCCTGAAAGGTAGACTCTGAGAAGGAGAGATGCAGCTCCATAACATGAGCCAGGGCAGGGTCCTATGCCCAATGTCTGGGATGTTACAACGATCCAGCTGCAGCACTCAGACTCAGGGTGCTGCTACACGGAGGACAGTTCATGCGGCCTGTTCCCCTTCATCCCCGGGCACCCTGGGGTGGGGGGCAAGTCACTTCTCACTTGGAGTTCTACTGTACAGTGAGCACCTCCCACCAGACACCCTACTGGCCATTGCCAGCCATCCCCAGCACTGGTGTCCCTTCTCAGGAGACAAAACAGGGACGGCTTGATCATTCACGTGGCACCAGGTAGTACCCTCTCCCAGAAAGAGTCCTCTTTCAGGATAAGCCTTGGGCCAGTTGCCTGTGGCTCACATCTGTAATCCTAACTATTCAAAGAGGCTGAGATGTGAGGATCGCTTTTTTTTTTTCTCCTGTGTTAAAAAGCTTTATTTAGAATTTTTGTTTCTTAGCTGGATTATTCCATGCCATTTTGTGACATGAAATAAATCAGAAACTACTCCACTTTCATTTTAAGATCAAGCTTCTTGGTCATTCGAGAAATAAAGGAAGAAATCAGAAAGTTCCTACAATCCAATGAAAATGAACATGCATCATACCAAAATCTTTGGAATATGATAAAAGCAATGCTGTGAGGAAAGTGCATAGCTCTATGCACTTTACATATAGAAAATAGTAACAGTTCAAATAAATAACAATTTCATGATTCATCTAAAGCTTCTAGAAAAACAGGAACAGACCAAATCCAAAAGTAGTAGATGGAGAGATAATAAACATTAGGGCAGAAATCAATGAAGTAGAGCCTAAAAAACTATATATAGAATCAACCAAACAGAAAGCCAGTTCTCTGAAAAAGTTAATAAAATTGACAGACCACTAGTTAAGTGACAAAAAAAAAGCAAAAACCTCTCAAATCAACAAATTAGAGATGACAAAGGAAACATCACAACAAGCATCCAAGAAATTCAAGAGATTATAAGAGACTATTTCTGAAACCTATACTCAAATAAGAAGGAAACTCTAGCGGAAATGGATAAATTCCTAGAGATATTCGAGCTGCCTAAGCTGAACACAGAAGCTGTAAACCCCCTAAACAGACCCATCATAAGCAATGAGATTGGGAAAGTAATAAGCAGTCTTCCAATAAGGAAAAGTCCAGGTCCTGATGGATTCAGAGCCGAATTCTGAGACCATTAAAGATGAACTAACACCAGTTTCACAGTTACAGCCTCAATGGTCAGGGATTCCATTGACCTGATGATGCAGATGTTCTTGCTGACCTGTGTGTGTATAGACGGCCATGTTTGCCACGTGGACTGGAAATGGATTCTAGATGACTGGCAATTTCTGACATCACATCTCTGCACAGCTTCCTCTGGGCTGTATCCAATAGGGCCCACTCTCCCGGGGTGAAGTTCACAGTTACATTGTCAATGATCATGATTCTCTGCTTAAAGTTCTGCCTCTTGGCCAGTCAGGAGCAAGTGCTAACTCAGTTTTAGGCACCACCATCACCATAACACTAAGTCAACTGCACTCATCAGCATGATTAACGAGTCAAGGATTTCCCATGAGGCCAACACCTGGGGATTCATGGTCGCTGCAGTTTGCTGGTGTCTTCCTCTGGAGGTCAACTCACAGGCTTTCCAAGCTCTAAGCAGGAAAATGGTTGTGGTTGTGCTCAAAGCCAGCTGCAGAAGTTCCACCTCCTGTAGTATCCCTTCGTTGTCACCAAAAACTCTGATGGGATGCAGGTGAAGGTTTGTGAAGTGTCCCTTTAAAAATAGGGAGTCTTCAGGTAGGGTCATTGACTTGGATGGCAGAATTTGAATTTCTAGAAAAGTCACAATGGTAAGAAAACTTGGCAGAGCTTTATTGAGTAGGCAAATGAGCAAGCAGGCAGGCAACTAAGCATGCAGACAGACAGACAAACAGAAAGGCAGAGACGCTCCAACAGAGTGTGGGTGCTCAAAAGGAGAGACACGGAGGATCACTTTTTGAAGCCAGTCTGGGCAGGAATATCCACGAGACTCTTATCTTCAATTAACTACCAAAAAGCCAGAAGCAGAGCTGTGACTCAAATGGTAGAGTGCCCACCTCGAGTGAAAAATTTAAGGGACAGTGTGCAGGTTCTGAGTTCAAGCCCCAGAACAAGAGAGAGGTGAGGGGAGGGAGGGAGAGAGAGAAGGAAGGAGGAAGGAAAGAAAGAAAGAGGAAAGAAGGAGGGAAGGAAGGTTGGAAGGAAGGAACAAAGGAAGAAGGGAGGGAGAGAGGGAGGGAAGGAAAGAAGGAAGGAGGGAGGGAGGGAGGGAAGAAAGGAAGGCAGGCAGGCCTTTGCTGGCCATGGCTCTCCCCTCTGCCTGATACCCATGTGCCCACACATATAGAAAGTTGCCTCTCTTGGCCAAGCACAAGGCCCACAACAATGGAGGGCTAGCTGTCTTACATTGCCCTTTACATCCACTTCTACTTCTCCAGATCACTCAGGGTTCTGTTCTCCACCAGCTGAGCCCGGCAGTCCCTCCTGGCTCACCTGTCCTTCTCTGCGAGGCCTCCACAGAGCCAGAGCCACACAGCAGGGGAGCATGATGCCCAGGCTCTGTCCAGAGCATCCCTGGAGTGACTCAGAGGCTCCTGGCCTTTGGAGAATAGCCAGGCTGCCCCTCCTCAGATGCCTGGTGGAGGGATCCTCCGCAGCATAGCAGGCCCTGATGCCTTGAGACAATCTCTTCCTAAGCCTTTAATCCAGTGGTGGGAGCCATTTTCTATTAACAGGCCGTGACTTCAGTGGAAAAGCATAATCATCAAGGGCCCTATCGTTGTATAAAATTACTGAATTTCAGTGTGGATGCCACAGTTGTTTACTTTCACTCTCAAAGGATATAGAAAACATGGAAAAATAGTGCTTTTTAAGCCAAAGGAAAAACTGCACAAAATAAACAGGAGTGACAGTATTTTAAAATATGGTTTCTATATTTGGGGCAGCTGAGTGGATATGACATGAAAGAATGTGAAGGGAAAAGAGAGTGAGAAATTGTGGTGGGGAAAGAGGAAGACAAAAAGATAAGAAAGGGGAGGCTGAAATGTGAGGACTGTGGTTCAAAGCCAACCTGAGGAGGGAAGTCTACAAGACTTTCCAATTCTCCAATTATTTCTCCATTTCTCCCATTAACCAGCAAAAAAAAAAAAAAAAACAACCCAGGAAATAGAGATGTGGCTCAAGTGGTAGAGTACCAGGGCTTGAGCAAAACAGCTAAGGGGCAATGCCCAGGCCCTGAGTTAAACAACAACAAAACTTAGAAAGATGAAAGGGAGAGTCAGGGGAGAGTGGAGGAAGAAGGAAGGAAGCGGAGATGAGGGCCGCAGTACACGCACACACCTTTAGTCATCTGCTAAGTCAGGACTGTCCCAGCTCCAAGCATCTCCCGTCATGCACAGCGAGTTTTCAGACTATTACCAGCTACAAATTATAATACCAGCATAGTTAGGTGCTTACTTGTACTCTACCACTTAATCTTAACAAGAGCTTTAAAGGTTAGGTCTTTTGCAGATAAGGGAAGTAAGACCTAGAAGTCCTCACACCACTGATAATGAGAGTCTGGATTCAAGTCTTCATCTGAGTTGGAGCTTTTATACCATTTCTGCCATGAGCCAGCTCCGTGCAGAACTGTCTGCTGTGATTATCCTTGTGCACTGTTCCTGGCTCACCATGCTGCACAGCTCTTTCCTTCTGCTTCTTTGAAGCCATTCGACTGTCCCATCTTTTCTTCCCGCCTTTCCTGACCTCACACTTGGTTTGATGTATTTTCTTCTTCTGGACTGTTCTGGAGATCTTCCACGGACACTGGCCCATCCATGGCTCTCCTCTGAAGAGCCTCCCTGCCTCCCCCGTGCTCAGTCACATCCCTCTGCTTTATTTATTTTTTACCCTGGCTGTGGTTTTCTTGCTGATTGTCCTTTGCTGTACTAAAGAAAATCTCCATATAAGCAGAACTTCGTCTGTCTTGTTTATGACCACAGCTCCGGCATCTAACACTATTTGGCAGATAGTAGGTAATTAAAAGTGTTGGCTGATGGATGAATGAATGAGTGCACAGACTTTTCTTCCATTGCTGTCAAAGGGACATTCTTCTCAAAAACCAGCAAACCATGTCCTGGCTTAACACTTTCCCATGAGCTCCGGTCGGAATGAACCTCTTCCACAAGCCTGCCCAGGGCTCAGGTTGTAGATGGAGATAAATGAGATTTGGCCCCAGACTCAAGGCTTGATCTTTTGGAATTTACAGAATCTAGAAAGGAGGCGAATACATGCCCACAAAGTACTATGCTTCAAAATGAGCCATAAGAAAAGAGATGGAGGGGCTGGGAAGGTGGCTCAGTGGTAGAGGGCTTGCCTTGCATGCATGAGGCCCTGGGTTCGATTCCCCAGCCCCACATAAGCAAAAAGAAAAAAGCCGGAAGTGGCGCTGTGGCTCAAGTGGTAGAGCGCTAGCCTTGAGCTGAAGAGCTGAGGGACAGCGTCCAGGCCCAGAGTTCAGGCCCCATGACTGGACCCAAAAAAAAGAAAAGAGATGGAACCAAATACGTTCAAAGAAAGGAAAAAGGCTGTCTGATTGATCAATGGAGCCTTAACATGTAAAGGCATCAGCACTGAGCCTGAGTCTTGGACAAGACTCGGGGGGGCCCACAGCAGCCTTGGGTAAGAAGCTCTGAGATTGAGAGTTGGGACCCCAGGCTGAGAGCCAGGCCCCCCAGGCTGTGTCTAGACCAGGTGGGTGGAGGGCGGAGATGGGAGCTGCAAAGGGAGGGAATCAGCACTAGAAAAGGATGGGTGGAGCTTGGACAGATCTGTGCCAGCCCCACGGGGGGACCCTGGCCAGGCAGCAGCATCAGGAGCAGTCTGGGAGGGAGGGAGGGCGGTGGGCAGAGCTCCTGGGCAGTGAGCAAGAGAGGGTTAACCTGCTTCTCAGTGCAGGCGGATTTCTCCGTTTTCTTCAAGTGGTGTGAAATGTAAGCAGGTCAACAGGCCTGATTTCTCAACAGCAGGAAATGAAGCAACTTTTTTTTTTGTTGTTGTTGAGAAAACAGCCCGCCTTGATCAAGGGCAAGGCTCCAGGCGATGGCCATTTCCCTGTCACATTAATCCCTGGTTTTTAGAAAACAGTTTTGTCCGGGAAGGGGTGGGGATCTGCGAGGAAGGCGGGGTGAGGGTGGACAGGAATGGAAAGGAGGAAGAGGAGAAGGAAGAAGAGGAGGGAGAGGGACTGCCTGCAGGCACACCGGTGGAATAAAACCAGGCTGACCACCTGCCCAGCGGGAGAGAAGGGGCAAAACTGGGCTCCAAGGAACTTAGGGGGTCTCAAGGGGTGGTGGGGCGGGGGGCGGGGGGCCAAGGCCAGATCAGAAATAGGCCTCAGTTTCTAAGGCCTGTCCCACAGATTAGGCCTGACCCAGCTTCCAGGACCAGGACCACAGACAGTTCTAGTTCCTTCTCCTGGGTCAGTCTATCTAAATACCATGTTATATTGTGTGTCTAGGCTCCTACAACTGCCCCAAGCATAGATGCTGAGCCCCTTGAAGACAAGATTACTCATTATTCTTGTGTCCAGCCAGAGAAGAATTCAGGCAAGGCATGAAACACAGTGAAAGTGATAGTTAAGATGAGTAGGAAAAGAATATACTTTCAATAGACTGAAAGCTTGTCAGGTGAGATGACAGCATGAGCCTTTGGGATTTGAGTATATATTGAGCTTAGCATGAGAAATTCCCAGCCTACAGGATTGAGGTTGCTGTGGAGGCCTTGAGCCTACTATGTGAGCCCAAAGGGTCTGGTTCAGGGGCCTGCATCTCAGTTTTGGTCAATTAAAGGTCTATTGTCTTGGCACTGTTCATTGTCAATCCACTTTAGTGTGAAACAAAGCCTTTCCTTAACCCTTAGGTGTATAGGGGACTAAAAAGCATCCTCTGACCTCCGCAGGCTATTCAGATCTTTTAAACATTTTTATTGTTATTATACGGCCGTTGTAGAAAGGGGGTACAGTTACATATGTCGGATAATGAACACATTTCTTTTTGGACAGTGTCACCTCTTTCCTCCCTCTCGCCCAGTTTTTCCCTCGGCTGTTCTGATCCTAGCTGAGGCTGATGGGCTGCCAGTCTCTGAGACAGACAGCCTGGGACCTCTACCTCCCGCCATCACAGCTGTCTCTCCACTGCTTCACATTTTTACCTGTAGGGACGAAGTCGGGGCCTGGAAGAATCCTCCATTTTGTTTCCTTTGCTTAATTGCTGTCACTAACATCTAACTGCTGCCTGGGGTCCCACTCCCCGGCTGCTCCTAGCTCCTGGAACCTGTGTATAAAGGAATGAAGCCACTGCCCTGCTCTGTGGCCCTCAACGTACAACTCCCCACCTCACCCTGTCTCCATGTCTGCCTGCCTTAGACTCAGCCTGGGCCTCCTCCTATTCTCTCCTCAAAGAGCTCATTTTTTTGCTCAGGTAGGGTGTGTGTGTGTGTGTGTGTGTGTGTGTAGGGTGTGTGTGTAGGGTGTGTGTAGGTAGGGTGTGTGTGTGTGTGTGTGTGTGTGTGTGTGTGTGTACTGGCACTTGAACTCGGGCCTGGGCATTGTTCCTTCACTTTTTGGCTCAAGGGAAGTTAGTGTTTTACCACTTAAGCCACAGCTCCACTTCTGATTTTTTTTTCTGATTAGCCTTAGAGTCTCATGGACCGCACTGCCAAGGCTGGCTTTGAACTATGATCCCCAGATCTCAGCCTCCTCTGTGGCTGGGATTACAGGCATGAGCCACTGAGGCCTAGCTTTTAAAATAGCATCTTTATCTACCTGTATCTACCTCTGTCCTAGGCCTCCTGCTGGCCTCCAGCTGTGCAACCCAACTGGGCAGCTTGCTGTGTCTGCTCCCTTGAAACTCCGCCAGCTCACTGTAGATGTGCCTGCCTCCAGTGCCCACCCCCTCCCACACGTGCTTGCACTAGGACCTCAGGGAGCTCCTGGCTCTTCCTCTTCTCTTGCCCCTTCCATCCAACACATCTTTAAGTTTGCTGCTTTCCCCATAGTAACTGTCTTGAGTCTGCTGCCTTCTCTCCATCTCTAACCCACCAACCTGTACACAAGCACCCAATCTCCCGCCTGAACCTGGTTAATAACTATGCATAACCAGTATTGTGTCACATGCCTATAATCTCAGCTGCTTGGGAAGCTGAGGCAGGACGATCCCTTAAGTCTGGAAATTCAGAACAAGAACCTGGCTCAAAGAAGTTACAATTAGCCAAGCACTGGTGGCTTATGCTTATAATCCTAGCCACTTAGAAGGCTGAGATCTGAGGATTGTGGTTTGAAGCCAGCCTAGGCAAACAGAACTTCAAAACTCTTTATCTCTGATTAACCAGCAAAAAGCCAGAAGTGGAAGTGTGGCTCAAGCGGTAGAGGCCCAGGCTTCAGTGAAAAAGCTAAGAAAGCTTGAGGCTCTGAGTTCAAGCCCCAGTACTGGCGCATACATATACAAAAGAGAGAGAGAGAATTGCAATTAAAAATAGCCATTCATACTTTGGCCTCTTCCGCTTGCTTCCTTCTATGTCTGTTTTCTACTGGGAAGTAAGACGCATTCCAAAACATCAATCCTCTTCTGTGCCACTATTTAAGGGGTCAGGAGTGTCTGCTTACTCGAGGGTTAAGACCCCTCTTTGTTGACAAGGACCCAGACCCTGCCTCTCTCCACCCACCTCCTGCTTCTCTCCCATAGCGCAATCCACGATAGCCACACTGCTCTGCCTACTTGCTTCTCCTTTTTCTCTGGGACTTTATATTCTCTTCCTCGGCCATTTCCCTTCTTCTTGGCATGCCTAACTCCCTCAGATTCTAGCTTAAGGCTGCCTCCTTGGAGATACCTCCCTGGCCAGCCAAACTGAAGCACGTGTTTTTCTTCATTGGACCAGCTCAGCCTGATACTTGGCCTCTTATAGGGGCCCAGAAATTCCCTGGGAGAAGGGATGTGGGCAGGTGCTGGCTCCAATGACTCTAGTGAGCTCTTTTTCCTCTTTATAAACCACCCAGGATTCAGCTATCTCCTCCCTTTAAAAAATTCTCCATGCTGCTCACACCAACAACACAGCGTGGCCTTTCTCCCCTTTACCTCTTCCAAACTAGTCTCAGAACTGGACAAAGTTGGCTACCAGCTTCCTAGCTGCCCCTTTGCGTTTCTAGGTTTAAACACTGGGCATTGCAGGGAAAGAGAGGACAGTGGAAAATAACCACAGAGAAAGCTGCAATCCTGAGACGGAGTGAGTTCCTCCGGCCGTGGTCCTCGGTCTATAGTTAGCCTCTGACTTCCTCTCCTGGCAAGAACCACACCAGTTATCTAGGACAGACCTGGTTTCAACCCTTCCATTGTGTGCCTGCGCCGCGTGATTTTCTCCAGCACGCTCTCCTTCCTTCTCCCCTCTCTGGTCCCCAGGAGGAAGCTGTCCTTTCTCAAACAACCCCCACGCTCAGTGTGGAAAGAGCTAAGTCTGGCTCTTACTTTGTTCTACCACATAAAATCTGCAAGACTTTGTGCCAATCGCCACGTGCTCCAAGCTTTCGTTTTCCCCATCTGTAAGAGAGAAAAGTCGACACCTCCATTCTACGATTTGGCAGGGGTGCCTGCATTGTACCTGTCCATCACTTGGTACCCATTTCTCTACTCTTCATTCTCAGGGTTGAGAAAGAATGTGATATTGTTTTCTAGCCCCAACCCCCCAATAACCTCCAGGACTGCGGGGGATAATATAAGGCTTAACCAAACCTGAGTTGGTAGGGATGCTGGACTCTGTTCTCCGGGTTCTGTGGTGGCCTGGGAGGAGAGCCAGGTCCTGTCTGTAGGCAGGGAGCACCATCTCCATAAGGAAGAGGTGCTCTTGGAAAAGCAAAGTCTTTATTGAAAACAGAAGCTTGGAAGACCGGCCTTAGGCAGGTAAGAGATGGTTGACTCTTAGGCTCCAGCTAGGAGCAGGAATCCATCCCAGATTTATGGCTTCCTCAATGTGGTATCAGGGCAGAGGGCTGCTTGGAGGCTGGCTCTCCATGAGTACTTCCTGCCCATCATCCCGAGACTCCCCTACCCCTCAAGTCATATTGGAATGTTCTGAGCTATGTTCAACGTTGCCAAGCCAGTGTGGAAAGGGCTGAGTCTGACTCCCATCCAGCAGTGACCCAAGGCCACATTGGTGACAGCTCCTTACAGGAGCACCTCCGGGCCACAAAATCTATCCTGCCCTCCATGTGGAACTCGTAGTCAAGTGCCTACCTGGAGTTCATTTCCATTCAGGTCATCTCACCTCCTCCAGGCCCTGATTAGCAGGAGAAAGATTGTTGCCAGGCCCGTGGTCTGCATTCTCTTGGGCTGTTGGGACAAATAAAGTCTGGTGATTAGACTTGAAGGCAGGCAGTAGCAGAGAGACTAGGAGACGTCTCTGCTCGCTGCTCCTTGCTGTCAGCAGAGAAAGCAATCTCTGCATGAGTTTCCTGTGGCTACTGTAACAAGTTGTCATGAATTTTGGGAGTCTTCAAGCATTACTGACTAGTATATTACAGTTCCAGAGTTCAGAAGTCTTAGATGAGTTCTGTGAGGCTAACATGAAGTTGTTAACAGGTCTGTGTTCCTTCAAGAAGCTCCAGATGTAATCGCTTACCTGTCCACATTTACTGCCTAGAAGCCACCTGTGTACAGGCTGGAGATGTGGTTCAGTGGAAGAGGGCTTTGAGGCTCTTGGTTTAATCCCAGCACTGGAGCAGGTGCAAGAAGAGGGAGAAGCAGATGGGGAAAAAAATGGAGAGACAAAGAGGAGAAGGCGTTCCCTGTATTCGATGGTTTATTAACCCTTCCTCCACCTTCAAAGCACCTCTCTCTGACCTCTGTTCCACCAGCACCTCCCCTTTTCTGTGTTCAACATGGAAACCTTTGTGGGGCTTAGGAAGGTGGCTCAGTGGTAGAGTGCTTGCCTTGTATGCATGAGGCCCTGGGTTCCATTCCTCAGTACCACATAAGCAGAAACAAGACGGGAGTGGCACTATGGCTCAAGTGGTAGAGCGCTAGCCTTGAGCTGAAGAGCTGAGGGACAGCGCCCAGGCCCAGAGTTCAGCTTCCATGACCAACAAAACAAAATCAAAACAAAAAGCAACAACAACCTTACATTTGGTTCCCCAAAAGTTAAACTAACTTCCTTATTTGAGATTCTTAGACATGTTGCCCAATTCTCTTTTGCTACGTAAGGAATATATTCACGATACTTGGGACTAAGACATGGGAACCAATGTTATGGCGGTCACAAACTCTTTATTGTACAAATATTCTCCTCCACGCTCATTTTCTGGGCTCTGGAGAAAACATGTTACTATCCCACCCCACCCCACCCCACCTCAATGTACCCCAACCCAACCTCCCTTCCCTTCCCTTCCCATCCCATTCTATCTCATCATATTCCTTCCCACCCTATCCGGACCACTCACCACCCACCACATCCCGTCATCCCTCCCCTCCTCTCTCCTCTTCCTCTTCCTCCTCTCCCTTTTCTTCCCCTCCCCTCCCTTTCTTTCCTTTTCCTTTCCCTCCTTGCCCTGCCCTCCCCTCCTCTCCTCTCCTCTCCTTCCCTCTCCATTTTAAGAATATCTAAGGATGAAAGGGAGGCTTCAGAGTTCTTGCTGTTACCTGATTCACCTCTTGGCTATGGCAAAGGTCCTCCATATTCTCCTTCCAAGTGCTCCTAACTTCAGTGCTTAGTTGAGGAGTCGCAAAATGGTCTTGCCTGTAGAAGGTGGTAATTGCACAGCAGAGCCAGGTCAGGGGTGGTGCAGGAAAGCAAAGACACTTTACTGGGGCTGAAGGTTTTCCATATAGAATGCCTGCAAAGCAAGTACAAGGCCCCGAGTTCAAACCTCAAGGGCACTGGAAAAAAAAAGTCACTTCAATTAAGCCAGGTGCCCTGGCATGCCGACCCAGCTTCTCAGTCAGCAAGTCTCCACCCTGCCTTCTCTTCAATCTGCTCCCCACATGCGCCAGCAGGCCCAGCAAACCCGGACCCCCAGAGGAGCCCACCTGGGTATGGCCTCCCTGTCCCTGGAGTCCACTCTGCCTGTGAACCAACAAATTAATTTCACGTTGGCTGAGGAAACTCACACCAGCTGTCTTCATGGATTTTCTGGAAACAACAACCAGGGTTCACAGGATCCTCTGAGGAAGCCACTCGCTTCCTTTACCTGAGCAAACGCGGTGACCATTGAGGACACTTTGCCATGAATAAGCCTCACCCAACATGCTAGACACGAAGGAAAACAACAAACCAACAGAGTCATCCAAAACAATGGTCCCCAAAATAGTCAGCCTGGAGGGTGTCCTAGATACTTGGACTCACTCACAAAAGCAGTGTGATGCCCGAGTCTGGCATTTCTGGAGTCTGTATGGGAAGCAGGTGGGAGCATTGCTGTTTTCCATCCTGAATAAATGTGCCGCGTGTACACAAATGCATCTTGGCTTGGATTTCTTTCTTTCTTTTGTGGCAGGTTCTGGGGCTTGAACTCAGGGCCTGGACACTGTCCCTTAGCTTTTTTCATTCAAGGCTGATACTCTACCATTTGAACCACAGCCACACTTCTGGCTTTTTTCCCCCCTGATTAATTGGAGATAAGTCTTATGAACTTTCCTGCCTGGGCTGACTTTGAATTGCTTCCTGCGTAGCGGGGATTGCAGGAGTGAGCCATCGCTGCCTGGACTGATTGACTTCTTAATAGCTCGGATTCTGCTGTTCTATTGGAGCTCCACCAACTTGTACAAGATGTGAGAAAAATTACCTCTTCTACAAATATGAAAAAAATGTCCTGCAGACAAATTGAGATAATCTTCCCATTTCTAGAGGGAATCAGGTTTGTGGAAGATGAGAAGGGACTTGTGTCCCTTGGGAGGAGGTTGAGTCTGTTCATAAACAGGAAGGATTCTACTTCACCCTGTGTGTGCAGTAACGCATGAAGTGCTAATGTAAATCCAATACGGAGCCAACTTTATTAAAACAATTTAACACGCAACATTGCTCCTTTCAAACTCATTATTTGTAAGTATTTTAAACCCCAGAAAATAAACTTTAGTTCCCTTTGGGCCATCTAAGCCTATTGCCTTTTATTGTTTTTCTTTATGTTCTGGCTTACCAAGAACATTTTTGGTCTAAGAAAAAAATCATCCTACTTTTCCCCTTGATAAAAAAAAAATCAATTGTTTTTCAGACATATCTCCCTATTTTTACAGATTTTTTAATCTTTCTCAAAAAAGTCAGAAAAGTCCATGAAACTCATGTCTCCAAAATTAACCAGCAAAACGCTGCAAGTGGAGGTGTGACTCAAGTGGCAGAGCACCAGTCTTGAAGAAGCTAAGCAGGAGTGTGAGGCCATTAATTCAAGCCCAGTACTGGCACACAAAAAAGTTAGTATATACATGAACATAACCGAAAGGCTTTTGTACAAGCTCTTCAAACTGTTTCTGTTGTTTATGCTTCACTGTGTTAAACAATAGAAAAGATGTATATAGATAGATAGATATACACACACATATATACATACACACTTATATATACACGCATTGTGTGTGTGTGTGTGTGTGTGTGCCAGTCCTGGGGCTTGAACTCAGGGACAGTGTTGTCCTTCTACCCCTTGAGTCATAGCACCACTTCCAGATTTTTCTGAGTAATCTATTGGAGATAAAAGTCTATGGTCTTTCCTGCCTGGGCTGGCTTTGAACCACCATCCTCAGATCTCAGCCACCTGAGTAACAAGTATTGCAGATATGAGCTACCAGCGCCTAGAAAGGCTATTTTAAAATCATGTTTATTTCTCAAGGACCCAATAATACTGATTAGTCATCCAAATTCTTATTAATATAAAGGTTTAAATTTAAATAAAGATTTAGAAATTAAAGTCTCAGGTAATACATTGTCAGAGTGATTTTTTTTTTTTTTTTTGTCGGTCATAGGGCTTGAACTCTGGGCCTGAATGCTGTCCCTTAGCTCTTCAGCTCAAGGCAAGCACTCTACCACTTGAGCCACCACACTGCTTCCAGTTTTCTGAGTGGTTTATTGGAGATATGAATCTCATGGACTTTCCTATGCAGACTGGCTTTGAACCAGATCTCAGTCTCAGATCCTCAGATCTCAGCCTCCTAAGTAGCTAGGATTACAGGCATGAGCCACTGGCGTCTAGCTAAGTCAGAGTGATTTTTAGCATTAGAAAAAGTAATTTATTTTAGTCTTATGTATGTGTGTGTGTGCTAGTTCTGGGGCTTGAATTCAGAAGCTTTCTTCAGGCTTTCTTGCTCATGGCTGGTGCTCTATCACTTGATCCATACCTCTAGTTCAGCTCTCTGGTTGGTCATTCTAGAGATGAAGCCACATGGACTTTTCTGCCCAGTGTGGCTTCAAATTTCAGTCCTGCACATCACAGCCTCCTAAGTAGCTAGGATTACAGGCATGAGCCACAGGTGTCTGGCAAAAGTAATACCTTTTAGTAAAGATAATTGGTTATGATCATTAAGTTAGTACTTTATTTTATAATTTCATAACCTAAATAAATCAATGTTAGTTATTTTTCTACCAGCAAAAATAATGGAAGGGGCTGGGTGCCAATGGCTCATGCCTGTAATCCTAGCTACTCAGAAGGCTGAGATCTGAGGATCCCATTTCAAAGCCAGCCTGGGCAGGAAAGTCTATGTGCTTCTTACTTCCAACTAACCACCAGAAAACCCGAAGTGGCACAGTGGCTCAAGTGGGAGAGGTGCTCTTAGGTGATTTGGCAGGGACAGCCTGCCCCCGTGCCAGGAGGATAGGGGAAGTTGGGCAGGATTGGCAGAGAGAGAGAAGGACAAGCCGAGAGAGCAAAGAAAGGCTGAACACATAGAACCTCTGGCCTTTTACCATTGCGTCGGCAGAAATTGTCCAACATCATGTGGGCTGGAGGTTTGCTCTCACCCTCTCTCAATAAACCCTCTTCCCCTTGACCCATGTGCGAGTTTCCTTTCAGCCACCCTTACAAAAACCAACTACAAATTCTCTAGAAAATGCTGCTCTTGGTTTGTGACCTACAGATTTCTGGCCTTACAGGTTGCAAATAATGTCACTTCCTGGCAAGCCAGGAATATTAGCAAATATGGGAATCTGAGAGAAAGTAGCTCCGAGAAGAATCTCATATAATTACTTGGCACACACAAGCGCCAGTGTTGAGGGTGCTTCTGACAAAGTCTCCAGACAGATACTCCCTGGGGCCCCTACTTCACCTGGCGCTAATTTGGAAACAGCAATGTGCCAATCCACAGCTCTTTTCGAATAGAAGTAAATGCTGGTGAAATCAAACAAAATAGCTTAATGATGCTGAATAAGAGAATTGTTAAGCAACTTACACACTTTAAAGTAAGATTTTTCCCATAAGAAAGGAAAGGCAATATTGCTCTCAGCTTTGCATCGGACTATAGACCATTACAAGATGCGGGTTGAGGAGGGGGGTGCAGGATCCTGCAGACCCGCTCCCCCAATAAGCAGGTTAGCTTGATAGGTTCTGGACTCTGAAACAATGAGCTTTGACTTTCCCCTATGAATCTGCAGTCCTGAGAAGATTGATTTGGTACCTGGTTTTTGCCAGGCTGCTGAGTGAAAATGTGTGGTCACAGTGGAGAACTTGCTAGAACACAGTGGTTTACACAATCCAGGCAGTCTTGCTCATTTTTTCCCTTCTTAGCATCTGTGTTTGCATTTGGCAAGCCATTCTTTCTGAATTCTGACTCCTTTTCGCTTTCCACATTTGTATTTTTTTCTTTTGCTTTTGCCAGTCCTGAGGCTTGAACTCAGGGCCTAGGCCCTGTTCCTGAGCTTAAGGCTGGCACTCTACCACTTGAGCCACAGTGTCACTTCTGGCTTTTTCTGTATGTAGTACTGAGGAATCAGACTCAGGGCTTCATGCATGCTAGGCAAGAACTCTACCACTAAGCCACATTCCCAATCTGACAATTTATATTCTTTACTATTGTGTGTTTGCCTGTACCAGGGCTTGAACTCAGTGCTCTGACCTCTCGATTAGGCTTTTTCTCCTCCAGGCTGGTGCTCTACCCATTAAGCCACACTCCCTTCTCCAGTTTTCTACTGGTTAAGTATAAATAAGACTTTCACAGGTTACCTGGGGCTGGCTTCAAATCACTATCCTTAGATCTCAGTCTCCTGAGTAGCTAGGATTACAGGTGTGAACCGCCAGTGCCTGGCCCACAATTGTTTTCTTGTTTAAATGTTTCTGCTTCCCTTTGAATGTTTTCATAAGTACCTATTACACATTAGAAACTGGCATGGACAGAGGCCGAAATCTGACCCAGTCCTACCTTATTGACTCTGTAGTCTGGCTAATGACGCAGATGTTAGTAAACTGCCACGTCCGTGTATACTTGCGCTGGGCTATAATGGCACTCTCCATGGGCTGTTCTTCCTGGAGATGAGACACCTTCAAGCTTCAATCAGAAGTGCTGTGGACCAGCTGTGTCAAGCTGTCTCTGAGGGAAGACATAGGAGATTTAGGAAAACACACACCCCTTAGAGAAAGCTAGGACCAAGTAGGATGTCAGCACCCAGAAATCTGAGGGACTGAAGCAGCCCAGGTTCTGGTTTAACATATTTATTTATTTATACAGTTGTGGGTTTTTTTTTAATAAGGCAGGGAAGGGACAGATTAAGATATTTATAACAAGTTGCATTCAGCAGGCATGGTTAGCTTTGGCAATACAGGAAACAGAAGGCCTGTGGTTAGAGACAGCTGAGCTCAATGTCGACTTTAAAGGTGGAGATGAGGAAAACATCCTCTTTTTACGCCTCGTGGCTGATCAGCCCTTGCCACTTCAGGCCATGGGCAGGGGTGACAAGGCTCAGGACTGCTGCCCCAAGAGCTCATGTCTGCCCCCAGCACAGAGAGATGGGGATAAACTGGTCAAAGAAGGGCCAAAGAAGCTAGGTGGCATCTCTGGGCAGCTTGCCTAGATGCATGCTCTGAGCAGGCATGCTGGCTAGAGGCTGTTCCCAGCTGCTGTTTGGTGGTTTGTGTACCAAACAGCCTAGGAAGATAGAAACAGTACTTCTGAGAAAAAGACAGCCTGTGTGCCATCCAGAGTAATAGAGATAACGTCTCCCTCCAGCGTAGGCAAAGCCTTTGTGGCAAAAGGCCTTGGATCCTTAACCTAGAGCAGCTCCAACATCACTCCTATGGCACCTAGGCTCCAAGTCCACTCCAAACGTGAAGTTCATGTTACTGTGAGTGAATGGCCAAAGCCCTTAGTCGCTGACCTGGGATCCGACAGCATCCATGGAACTGCGGCTGCTCGTCTCAACAACTTGCAAGAAGCATAAATCTCAGACCCTTTCAAGCTGTGGAGGGGAAGTAGCTGGCAAGTGTGGATTTGAAAGGAAACCCGCTTGAGTGGAGTAGAGGGAGGGGAGGGAAGTGATGTGAGATAAGGTGAAAGGTAATGACCCGTGAGGTGAGTCCCTTGTTTTGTCACCAGATGCGGGTGAAAGTTTGTGAAGTTTCCTTCTAAAAGTAGGGATTCCAGCCGGGTGCTGGTGGCTCACACCTGTCATCCAAGCTACTCAGGAGGCTGAGATCTGAGGATTGTGGTTCAAAGCCAGCCTGGGCAGGAAAGACTATGAGAGTCTTATCTCCAATAAACCACCAGAAAACCGGAAGTGGCACGGTAGCTCAAGTGGTAGAGCACTCGCTTTGAGCTGAAGAGCTGAGGGACAGCACCCAGGCCCAGAGTTCAAGCCCCATGACTGACCAAAAAAAAAAAGTAGGGACTCTTCGCTTGGGATCTTTGACTTTGATCACAGAATAAGAATTTCTGGGCAAGTTGCGATAATAAGAAACCTTGGTGGAGCTTTACTGAGAAACTAAGCAAGCAGAGCAGCAGAGAGGCAGGGGCACACTATAGCAGAGCGTGGATGCTCTCAAAGGGAAAGAAAGAAAGAGCGAGACACAGCTCCGTGGCTGGTAGGGGTATTATAGGGTGAAGGCATGAGACTGACTTCAAAGTAATGAAAAGACGGGCATTTTGTCTTTGCTCTAATCACACCTGGTATTTCATTTTCTGAGTTTCTGCATATTGGAGTACTCTTTCCAGGTAAGAATTCATCCTGCCCTAAAACAGATCTTTATCCTTGAGATAAAGATCCTATTGTCTGCACTTTGGGTAAGTTTGCTTAAGTTTGGAGCATTTGTCCCAGGAAGGTATACATCCTACCAGACAAATGTTAATTCTTGGAATGAGAAATGCATCTCTCGGGAAGGAATGCATCCTATTGTCTCACTTTGAAGCATTTAGTGCTTCTGTGTTTCTAAATACCATGTTTCTGACTTGCCTTCACCAGGCCTCATTTTCCTCAATTCACCATGCCTCATTTTCCCCTAAATGACTTTGGTCCTTCAATCTTAAGGGAAGTAGATGAATGAATATCTCCTCTATTTGCTGTAAGCTTTCCATACCTCATTTTCCCCTAGTCTATCCTGCTTCAGTTTGAGACAGAACGTGGGGTGAACAATCTTGGCAATGCCATTATCCTACAGAATGTGTGGAGTTAATAAACTGAGCTTAAGGTCTCACAGGACCAGAAGCCAAGGCTCTCCAAGTCTGTGAGATAACTTTTATGATGATAGAGATGAAAATAGGAAGTGTTTTCTTCATGTCCTTCATCCTGTTGGGAGAATTTTTGCCTGCAGATGCTACTACACTGTATCTATCAGTGTTAGAAGGAAGTCCTCCTTACAGTGCCCCCAAGTAAGCAAGGGAAAATTCTCATTGGCTGCGATGTCTGTCAATCATCTCAGGTACAAAAGCAGTCAATGAAGGGAGGGGCTGTTGGGGCTTTAGAGAAAAAGAAAGGGGGGGGGAGGGAGAGAAGTGGGGCCAGGGCAGCCCTCCCTGGAAGGAGGCTACCATCAGATCACTTTGTAAAAACAAAGGGACTTGGTTGAGGAGCCTTTTTGGCTCATTCTGGCCCTGGGAGTTCTAAACTTTTCACTCACTGTCAATTAATTTACAGTGAACACAGAATGGAGTTGTTCTGCAACTTTGGCCAAAACAATTAAAAAGGAGGAGGCAAAGGGGGAGAGGGACGAGAGGGGAGGGGGAAAGAAGAAAACAAGAAAAAGGAGGAGGGGGAAACAAAGGAGGAGGCTACAATGCTTGATACGAAATGTACTCATTATCTTGCCCATGTAATTGTAACCCCTCCGTACAGTATTTTCACAATAAAAGAAAAAAGAAAAAGGAGGAGGAGAAGGATCCAGAAACAGGAGCTAACCCACGCAGAGCTTCCTTAAGACACGTCGTGTGGTTGTGGCTGTGGTTGTGGTACAGGGGCTGGACACCAGGGCTTCCCACAAGATGCGCCGCTCTTGCTCTTGGCCTGGGCTTAGGGAAGGGCTGCTTCCTGCCCCTTCCTGAGGGGGGCGCTCTGTGCCCTGCTCCTGGTCCTAATTTACTCCTGCGTTTAGTCCGTGATACTTCACTGTGGTCTAGGCTTGGTCTTAGCCGGCATTTTAGAAAGAGGTAGCAAGCATCAGGCCTCCAAACATTCTCAGAAATTTCTCTCTCTGGCTTCTTTCCCGTTTGGTAATCAGCACATAAATTGCTAAAGTGTGCATGAAGAGAGGTGGCACATCCCTCGTGCCCACTCAGCCCCTAGGTTCTCTGGCCCTAGACTGGACCATGTAGCGACAGAATGTGTGAGGGGAGGGCCCGCCAGGCAGGCAATATAATAACAGCCTTGTCCGAGGACTGTGGCTTACATAACTCAATTCTGCCCAGCATCATCCTGGCAACAGGCCTGGGCAGAGAAGACTGGAGGAACACAGGTAGCAGCTGCCAGAAAAGCTGGGAAGCTACTGGCAAGTACAAGTGGCCAGGGAAGAAGCAGGAGGAAAGTTTGGGAAATGTGGGCAAGCCCTATCCTTTGATCATACCTCCCCCTTTCCCTTCATTCCCTCCCTCCCCCCTCCCCCTTCCCCCCTCCCTGCCATGCCTGGCAGGTGCTTTAGGAAGGTCTGGCCCAACATTTTCAAAACTCCAGGCTTTCTCAATCCACTAGAGGACCACAGGACGCCTCCACCTCCTCTTGCCAGCCTGGGGATTGACTCACAGCTCAGTTCCTGCGAAGGACCTGCCTGGGACTGCGGTTGTGGTGGGTGGGGGGGTAGGGAGTGGGTTGCAGTGGGATGGTATAAAAAGGAAGTGTGGGGCCCAGGGAAGAGGCCCTGTCTAGGCAGCGAGGTCCCGGATCCCACAGGCAATAGAGGGGTGCCAGGCATACGCTGCTCAGCTGCAGCCAGAATGGGCCCAAGGGTGTCTTCAGCAGGTCTCTGGGCTGGCCAAGGCCAACTGGATTTAGCAGGGGCGGGGAGGGGTGGAGGCTGTGAAGGGGCCAGACAGCAGGCCGTGGGGAGGGGAGGGGGAAGTGGGGGAGGAAGAGGCTGGTGTCTTCCTGGCCTGGGGTGGGGGCAGGAAGGATGGATGCAACTGCCTGGAGTTTGACTCTGGATTTCCCTTCAGGCTTTGTGGTCCTGGTGCTGCTCCAATGCTGTGAGTACCCCACCCTCCCCCCCACCCCCAGCTCCACATTCTGACTCCTGGAGTGGGGTGCAGGCTCAGGGCCGTGGAGGAGGAGCTCTTGGCACAAGGGAACACCCTTCCAGTTCCTTCTATGACCCAAATGCTTGGAAAGACTCAGACTTGCTCAACCAAGATGGTGAGCATCTGGGAACTGATCTCACTTCAAAAAACAACCAGCATGCACTGGTGGCTCACGCCTGTCATCCTAGCTACTCAGGAGGCTGAGATCTGAGGATCGCGGTTCAAAGCCAGCCAGGGCAAGGAACGTCTGTGAGACTCTTATCTCCAATGAACCACCAGAAAACCAGAAGTGGTGCTGTGGTTCAAGTGGTAGAGCGCTTCCCTTGAGCTGAAGAGCTGACCGTGCCCAGGCCCAGAGTTCAAGCCCCATGACCGACCAAAAAAAAAAACCACTTGAAAAGGCTCCGGTTCAGTGAAGGCCTTGGCTAGCAGCCCAGGGGACCCCTGGCAGGAGCTGTCCTGATGAGTGATACTACTGCTTTTCCCTGTCACCAAGGGCTTCATTTGCAGCAGGAGGAATTTGAATGAGAGAGAAGGAAGAACTTCCTGTTCCTTCATCACAGATAGTGTGCCCCTCTATTCTGGAGACAGAAGAGCAGCCAGCATCCCTTCTTGAGTCATAGACCCCACTGCAGGGTCAAACTTGAAGGCCAAGGGCATCTTTGACCCTGGCTGTCTTGAGCTAGATCTCTGCCTTTTCACGTAGCCACTGTCTCCGGGAAGTCCTCAGTGCTTGCACGTAGTCCCATTTCCCATTTGTTCATCGGCCTTCCCCTCACCCTGCCACACACAATGCTGGCTACACCTCCACAGCGTGTTCATCCATTACCTGTGAGCTTTTCCAAGCATTTTCAGAATAGGCCTTGTTTGTATCAGACAGGGGCTCTCCAGGGACAGGGAACTGGAGCCAGCGGCCCTCCCTCAAGAAATCTCATTTTGGGGGTTGGAGGTGGGGCTTAGCTGGTAGAGCACTAGCCAATGAGCAAGGTTGTCATGATGCTCACGACTCTGCTCATCACCCCCCACCCCCTTCCTCCCAATACACAACCACACCCCTCCGGTGCTCAGCTAGGTCTCCAGCTGAGGCCTGGCCTGGGTTCCACCCTGATTTCTCCCTCAGGCTCTGCCTACAAGCTGGTTTGCTACTACACCAACTGGTCCCAGTACCGGGAAGGTGACGGGAGCTGCTTCCCGGACGCTATTGACCACCGCCTCTGCACACATATCATCTACAGCTTCGCCAACATAAGCAACGATGAGATTGACATCTGGGAGTGGAACGACGTGACCCTCTACGGCACGCTCAACTCGCTGAAAACCAGGTCAGACCACGGGCTGGCCAGGCCGGGGGGAGAAGGGGAGCAGAGCCGTGGGGCCCATCCCAGGGTGAGGCAGCTCTGCCCACAGGGCCGGGGAGGGCCGCATGGGAGGCCTTGGGGGAAGCTGAGCAGTGTTGGAGTGCTGAGAACAGACTGTAGGAGGCGCTGTGGAGCGCCCTGGGCAAGGGGGGCTGTGGCCCTGCTTCGCTCCTCTCTGGCTCCCCCCGTGGGGAGGCAGGACAGGCAGCTAAACTCAGAGGACCTGCCAAAACACTGAATCTGGAGATAGGAGGACACCAGAGCCAACCCCAGCCTCGCCACCCAAGCTAGAATTCCCCCATGGCCTCCCTGATGCATATGCATCATTCCACCCCTGACCTCTCCTTCCCCGCCTTCACAGGAACCCCAACCTGAAGACCCTCCTGTCTGTTGGAGGATGGAACTTTGGTTCCCAAAGGTAGGACCCATTCCTGGAGCAGAACAGAGAAACGAGAGGGGGAAACAATGACTCCAGACTGGCCAGACACAGAGGCCTAAATATACATCTGTATATTTGAGAAACCAGTGCCCAGAGAGGGAGAGAAGCTTACTGAGAGTCGCACAGCCTTCAACAATAGATCTCCTGTTGCCTGCCCATGCTCTTGCATCTCTAACCTGAACACGAAGAATTTCCAGAGTTGATGTGACAGAGCCAGAGGGAGAAGGGGGGAAACATGGGGTGTGGGGGGATGCCTTGGGGAGGGGGAGTTGGAGCAAGGTCTTGGAAGGAGAGTGATCATGCCATCGTAGGTCCTGCCTGCTCAGTGCTTACCCTGTCCCACCATTCACCCAGGCAATCCTCCCAGCAGCCCTGCTTTGGGGCTCCAAGGCACCTGGGACTTCTTGTATATGGAGTCTGGAGCTATCTCAGCCAGGCCTGTGGGAGCTGGATGACTCAGAGCCCCTGCTCCCCAGGGCCAGGAAACCCCTCCGCTAGGGCAGGGCTCCTGCATCTTGATGCTGAACACACTCAGGGTAATTTCTGTCCCAGATTTTCCAGGATAGCCTCCAGCTTCCGGAGACGCAGGACATTCATCAAGTCCGTGCCCAGGTTTCTGAGGACGCATGGCTTTGATGGGCTGGACCTGGCCTGGCTCTACCCCAAACTGAAAGACAAGAGGCATTTTACCACCCTGATCAAGGTGCTGGGCAATTCAAGAGGAGGCAGGGAGGAGGGTGGGCAGGTGTCAGGGTTATGGGTGAGTTAGAAGCTGTGTGTGTGTGTGTGTGTGTGTATGTGTGTGTGCGTGTGTGTGTACACTGGGGCTTGAACTCGGGGCCTAGGTTCTGTCCCTACATTTTTTTGCTCCAACTTGGTGCTCTACCATTTAAGCCACAGCTCCACTTCTGGCTTTTTGCTGGTTAGTTGGAGATAAGAGTCTTTCAGATTTCTCTGCCCAGGCTAGCTTCAAACCATGATCCTCAAATCTCAGTCCCTGGAGTAGCTAGGATTACAGGCATGAACCTCTAGCACCCAGCTTTAGAAGTTGTCTAAGGACAGGCAAAGAGTATCCTCAGCCTCATGACCCTAAATCATACAGGACAAGGAGGGCTCCTGCTAACCACAGTGGGAGGGGGGGGGATCCAAGAGACAGAAAGCCATGACTGTGCAGGTGCCCAACCCCACTTCCCACTTGGAGGAGCACCCATTGTCCCCTGTTCAGTCCCACACTGGTCCCCCTGCTACCCGCATGCACTGTGTTCAGGGGCACTGGGCTGGATGTGGGGCCGGCCCAGGCATCACCCGGTGCCCAGGGGCAGTGTGGACACTCAATCTCTTTCACTTGGATTTCATGCACCAGGCAGAACAAAGCGCGGAGAGGTGTTGGAAAACAACCTCATCAACCAACCTTCCAATGGCCTCTTCAGGCCAGGGAGCCTTTGAGTGCTGATGGGTGGGCATGGGGCTTGAGATGGGATTGGCCCAAACCATATTCTAATAAAATCATGGAGGAATCTTAGGCAGCCCTAGGCAGAATGAGGTCAGAGAAAAACAGGAAAGCTCAGAGACCTCGGCCTCTCTGCGAATCTCTCCCACGTCGCTGGGGGCTCTTCTATTCACCTGCCTTTCTCTTGCCCAGGAAATGAAGGCAGAGTTCACAAAGGAAGTCCAGCCGGGAACAGAGCAGCTCTTGCTCAGTGCCGCATTGTCTGCAGGCAAAGTCGTCATCGACAGCAGCTATGACGTAGCCCAGATCGCTCAGTGAGTCCCCTGCCCGGGCACCCCCCCTCCCCGTGCCTCTGAGTGTACCCCCTCCTTCCTCCACCTTACCCTAGCATCCCATGAAGACTCAGGAGACTAGATTTCCAAAGCCTCACCGTGTGAACTTGGCCAAGTCACACCCTCGGCCAGCCCACTGTCTCGATTTCCCCATCTGTCAAGTGGGGAGCCCTGTCCTTTTTTTTCACTTGGGGAGCTGTTGACCGGTTAAGAAAGTTTCTATGAATGTATTTTGGACAGGGAAGTAGAAGCTATAGACACATAGCAGCTAATACCGGAGATTCTTTCCACAATGGGCTGAGTGCTAGGCCCCGGAGAGGCACCCCAGCAGCAAGAATCGCTTTCTCCACCAGGATGCGGGAGAGTCCTCAGAGACTCCCACCCCACAGGCAGCCGCTTCTCCTTAGGTGTATGAGTTCGTGCTGCCAATAGCCACGCGGGGTCTCTCCCAAGCACACAGGCAGACCCAATGACATTTACCTTGTGTTGATGATATTCTTTGGAGGCTCGGTACTTAAACAGATTACATGGGTGCAGGGAGGTGGCTTGGACATTTACCCCCAATTTCTGAAGCTCACTAGGTGCTGTCCATTTGTCCCCAATCCTCCCCCCCCCCAGCCTTTGGTCCTGGCACCTGCCCTGAGAGTATGACTGCCCATGCCATTTTAAATCTGCCTTCACCAGCATGCGGGGTGGGGAGGGCTGGGGAGAGGTGGAGCCCAGCTTCCACACATGAGCTCAGGCCTCACACCGCAGCCCTTCGTGCCTCGAGGATGCTCCTGGGACCCAGAGCCCCATCCCATTGTAGCTCAAGGGAGCTGCACTGGACAGCGAGCATTGGACAACCGGCCTGTGGGTTCCTGGCCTGTCTGTCAGCTGTCTGTTTGCTCTATTCACATCCTGCTGAGGGCCTTGGATGTGAGGCCAAGGGCTTTTCTAATTTCCCGTCCCACCTCCATCCCCTCCCCCCAGGCACTTGGATTTCATGAGCATATTGGCCTACGATTTCCATGGAGCCTGGCGTCAGACCACAGGGCATCACAGCCCGCTGTTCCGGGGCCAGATGGATGCCAGTCCTGACAGATTCAGCAATGTTGTGGGTACCTGGAAGATGGAAATGGGGTAGGGGTGGGGAAGAGGACCACAAAACCCTGCCTCCATGTCAGGCATTGGTGGTTCATGCATGTAATCCTAGCTACTCAGGTGGCTGAGATCTGAGGATCACAGTTCAAAGCCAGCCCAGGCAGGAAAGTCCACATGACTCTTACCTTCAGTTAACCATCAAAAAAAAAAAAAAAAAGCTAGACGTGGAGCTGTGGGTCAAGTGGTAGAGTGTTAAACTTCGAGCACAAAAGCTCAGGGACAGTGTCCAAGCACTGAGTTCAAGCCCCAGGACAGTCCTGCAGGCAGGGGCCAGGAGTTCCATTTCCTAGATGAGGAAATGGAGGTCCTGAGTCTGCATTCTCCCTGGCTCAGGGAATGTGGCCTATGGGGAGAAGCCAGGGAAAGCAGCAGGGGCAGAAAGGAGAGCGGCTGGGGGCTGGGAGGTGGGAGTCTAGCCTCCATCTGACATTTGCTGGCTGAGCCTCCTGAGCCAATCACTGGATTTCTGCATCTGTCACCCAAGAATCCCTTCCTGTGTCCAAAGGGGCTTTTCAAGAATGAAACTTAAAAATCAGTTTTAAGCTGGCGTCTGGTTCCCAGAGGAGCCCAGGATCCCAGGTGCATGGTGTAACTGCACCCACCTGTCCAGGGAGCAAGGTCCACGGGGAAGATCACCTCCCCATTTAAGCACCACCTGCTCTGCTAACTGCTCCTCCTCCTTCCTGTTCCCCCCCAACATAGGACTTTGCTGTGGGGTACTTGTTGAGGCTGGGGGCCCCGGCCAACAAGCTGGTGATGGGTATCCCCACCTTCGGGAAGAGCTTCACCCTGGCTTCTTCTGAGACCAGTGTTGGGGCCCCAATCTCGGGGCCAGGAATACCAGGCCGCTTCACCCAGGAGCCAGGGACCCTCGCCTACTATGAGGTTAGTGGAGTGGGGGGAGATGCTAAGATTTCCCCAGCACCATCAGGAGCCCCCAGGGAAGGGGAGCCTCACATCCCATTTCCACCTTTTCTGCTTTGGAAACAAACATATGTTCTATTGGCTTAGAATCCCCAAGGAAGAGGACAGGGGAGGTCATGACTTTTGCTATTAAAAGTCTCCAGCAGGCACAAGCACCACCAAGGTTCCAGAATATTCCTCTAGCCCCAGAGCTGGGATCTTCCTTTCAGTCTAGAAATACGTCGTGGCCAAGAGGCAAAGCCTGTGTTTCAGTCAGCCTCTGCTGCTCCGTGTGACCTGGGTCAGCCTTCAGTGCAAACCCACCATTTCCCATGCCCCTACTTAAGAGGGAGGAGGCAGGCAGGGCTCAATGGCTCATGCCTGTAATCCTAGCTTCTTGGGAAGCTGAGACCAGAAGGATTGGAATTTGCCGGCTCAGGCAAAAAAGTTCATGAGACCCTTCCAACCCCCAGTTCAACCAGTAAAAAGCTGAGCGTAGTGGCATACTCCTGTCATCTTTTATGGGAAGTGTAAATAGGGGGACTGTGGTCTAGGCTGGCTGGTGTCTACACAGCGAGACCCTATTCAAAAAAATAACGTGTGATTAAGGAATAATGAAAAGTAACAAAAAGTATGGCCCAAGTGGTGGAATACCTGCCTCACAAACACAGGTCCAGAGTTCAAAACCAGAACTACCAGAAAGAAAGTTTGTTTTGGAGAAGGTAATCAGATGCCTTAAGTCCTTGGGGCTACAGTAGCTGAACTCAGGGACCTTTGCATCTGCTTTCCACAAGTTTGCATGAAGCCTGCAGATCCTAGTGGAGGGCTTCATACTAAAGCAAGTGAAGGAGATTTGGGGAATGGCCTCTCCTGGTGGCCTGCCAAGTCCCCCTATGATCCCTGCTCTGTTCTCTGCTCAGGTCTGTGACTTCCTCCGCAGAGCAACAGTTCACAGAATCCTCGGTCAGCAGGTCCCCTACGCCACGAAAGGCAACCAGTGGGTGGGGTACGATGACACGGAGAGCATCAAGAGCAAGGTGGGCTTCCCCCAGGCCACGGCCAGCACCAAGTGGGGGCGGGGGGGAGGCCCGGCTGCCAGCAGCCAGATTCCATCCCAGGCTCCAAGGGCTGTGCTGGGTACTGGGTCTCCAGGGTCAGCAAGGGGGCCACAGCCCATTCCCCTACACACACCCTGCCCCAGAGAACCCAGTTGTACCCCCTGACTGTCCCCACCAGGTGCAGTACCTGAAAAATAGGCAGCTGGCGGGCGCCATGGTGTGGGCCCTGGATTTGGATGATTTCCGGGGCTCCTTCTGTGGCCAGAATCTCCGCTTCCCGCTCACCAACGCCATCAAAGATGCCCTCGCTGCGGCCTAGTTGCTCCTTCTGCAATACAGCGGAGGCCACGGAGGCTCCACATCCTCGGCTCCAGCTGCCCAGCATCCACATCACGTGCCCTGCTATGTCGCCCCAGTTGAGCCTCAGTTTCCCTCCCATGGAAGCCACGCAGACAGCACTGAGCTTGGAGCTCAGCCCCGATGGTCAGGGAGGTAGCACGGGTCTGTGGGGTGAGCGAGGGCCTCCCACGCCGGTGCAGACACCAGACCGGAGGGGGATGAGAGGGAATGCTCACACTCCAGGTCCGGCCGAGGTGGTTGTTCAGCTCCTTCACCCCCAGTGCTCCGATCAAAGGGCACCATCTGGCAGGCTGTGACACCATGTAGGCCCGCATCCCAGGAGAGGCAGTGGCCATACTAATTATACCCCCTGCAAAGCCCAACTTGAAACCTCCACTTAGGAACATAATCGTGTCTCCCATCTCACTTCCCTTTCCTAATTCCACAGCTGCTCAATAAAGAACCCCAGCTCCACAGCAGGTGCCACGTGCTTCTATTTCGGTGGGCACACTGGACCTCTGGCCTCTTCGCCCCCATCCTCTTACTTTTCTATTTTTTCTTTCTCCTTCCTTCCTTTTCCTTGTGCAGTTTGGGAGACTATTCTTCTTAGGCAAGCTCTTTTTTCCTCTCTACTGGTCCTGGGGCCTGTGTTCAGGGTCTGGGTGCTGTCCCTTAGCTTTTTTTTTTTTTCTCTGAAGCTTAGTGTTCTATCACTTGAGCCATGGCTCCATTTCTAACAGTCTCCTAGTTAATTGGGAATAAGAGCCTCACTGCCTGAGCTGGCTTTGAACTGGATCCTCAGATTTCAGCCTCCTGAGTAGCTAGAATTACAGGCATAAGCCATGAGCGCCTAGCTTCTAGACAAGCTGTTGAGCCACACTTTTGCCTTTTTGCTTTTAATTTTTCAAGTAGGGTCTCTGCTAACTTTGCCTGGGCTAGCCTCAGACAGCAATTCTCCTACCTCCCCCACCCCAACCCCCTGAGTGGCTAGGATTATAGGTGTGACGCAGTATACCCAGCTCCCCTACCTTTCCTAGATTCTCCTCTCTGAGGCTTAGGAGCCCTGAACTTGCAGAGCCAAGGCCACCATGACCTCTGCTGGGCCCCCCAGGGAACCCGGGCAGGAGCAGCATCTCAGATTCACCTGCCTTGAGCATCTCCTAAGCCTGAAAGTCTTCTAGAAGTTGGTGGGTGCTGACTACAGGGTTGGATCAGAGACCACTGAACCCCAGGTCCCCTAGTACTGAAGGGAAAGATGGCCTCCTCTAGGATGGCCTTCTAGACTACCAATCCTCCCAGTGACCCCCGGGCGCCCACTGCATGCTGGGCTGGAGCTGTAGGCTGCCCACTGCTGACCTTGTCCCAGGCCCCTGCTTGTGCTTGCTCATCCCTCAACCCATGCAGAGGTCAAAGCAGCTCTGCTCCAGCAGCCTGGGCCTGAGCGGTGGGAGCCGGGGGACAGATGGGAGAGGGTCAGCTCAGAAGGTTCCCAGCCTGAGAGGTGGAGATACACCCCCCACCCCCATGCCCACGCCTGCTGCTGAGACTTGCCAGCCCAGACACAGATTCCAAAGCTAAGGAGAACTAACCTCTAGATTCCCCCCGGGTTGGGTGGATCTGTGACTTGGGACAATCATGAACTGGTTTGAGGGGTGGTGAAGCAAATGCCAACCTGCTGCCCTGAAATCCGAACCCACTGGAGCTGGGCAAATGCAGCATATGCCAAGGTCACAACTCCTTGCTGAAGTCAAGGAACCTGGCCAGAGCCTTCAGGGGGGACCTGGTATGTTATTGCTGCTGACTGGGCCTAGTATTTCCTAGCTCTGCCCACCACCTGCCCCACCACACAGGGGCTCTGAAAGCCAGAGCTGTGAGCCCCCACGGGAAGCCAGCCCCCTCCCACAGCCCCCCTTCTCTCCAGCTTGGGACGGGCTCTCTGGGCTGACTCAGGGTCCTGCCGAGTTAGTCACATTTGCTTATAGCTGCAGAGTCAGAGGCCAAGGATCATGTCTCTAGGGCCTGATCAGCAGGACACCGAGTCACCTGGCAAAGGACAGGGGCACCCGGGGAGGGCTGGACTCTCACCTGTCACTTCCCACTGCAGGATGTTGGGAACCATAAATAAGTTATGTTTGCTTATTTTATTTGTATATGTGGTACCGGCCTCAAACCTGCTAGGCAGGTAATCTTACCATTAAGCCAAATCCCCAACATTTCTGCTTTAATGATTTCTGTGACAGGGTCCCAAGCCAGGCTTGGATTGTGATCTTTCCATTTATACTTCCCAGGTAGCTTGGATGATGGGTGTGTGACACTATGCCTGGTTTACTGATTGAGATGGAGTCTTTTTTACTTTTTTTTTTTTTTTACCAGGGCTGGCTTCAAACAGCTATTCTCCCAATCTCTTCTTCCTGAGTAGCAAGGATTATAGCTGTGAGTCACAGAGTGTGGAAACATTGTTTATTTTTAAATTGTAGGATACACTACATACTAAGGAGTCCATAAAATGTGTTTGCTATTTTGGATGGAGGGCAGAAAATAAAACCTTGCTGATCCCCTGAAGCCGGTCCCTCACCAAGTGGCCTCACGGAGTGGCCCTTTGCGCCTTGCTCTTTGGGGGCTGCCATGCGTGGACGCACCTTGGAGTGGCCTGGGTTGGGGGTTGCTGTGTTTTGCTGCTTCTGTTCAGCCACACCGATCGTAGCTGACATTTGTCATTTGCGTCCCACATTGTGCTCCAACGTCACATAGGCGCACGGCAGGTGTCTAGCTCCTTCCCCACACATGTAGCGGCACCTCCGCAAGTATTGTCTTCCATCTTCCAGGGACCGCCTAGAGCGCCTCCAGGGATGAGGACGCGGTGACAGTCAGGTCACAGCTCCATGTCCCGCGTTCCAGTCATCGTTCCGATCCACACGTACAATGCAGAGTTGATCATGTCCCCTGCTCCCTGGAATTTAAATGATTACCTATCTAAGCATTCTCTCAATTTGTTCTTGGCAGTACTTGTATTTGAACTCAGGGCTACCTGCTTGCTAAGCAGGTAAGAGCCATGCCTCCGGTACTTTTTTCTTTTTTTTTGGTCAGTTTGGGGCTTGAACTCTGGGCCTGGGCGCTGTCCCTCAGCTCTTTCAGTTCAAGGCAAGCGCTCTACCACTTGAGCCACTGCTCTGAGTGGTTTATTGGAGATAAGAGTCTTGCAGACTTTCCTGCCCGGGCTGGCTTTGAACCATGATCGATCTCAGCCTCCTGAGTAGTTAGGATGACAGGCGTGAGCCACAGGCGCCCGGCACCTCCAGTACTTTTTTCCTCTGGCTATTTATTGTTATTATTATTTTATCGTAATGGTGATGTACAGAGGGGTTACAGTTACATAAGTCAGGTAATGAATACATTTCTTTATGAACAGTGTCACCTCTTCTCTCATTGTCCCCCAGTTTTTTCCCTCCTGACTTCCCTCCTCCAACAAGTTGAGTAGTTCGTTTTCAGCATAGTGCTTCGTGAGCATTGCTGAGTTACTGTTTTGGTGCCGGTAGTGAGGCTAACCCCAGGGCCTTGCCCTCTGGCTTGCCTTTCGCTCGAGGCTGGCACTCGACCACTTGAACCATACTTCCACTCCCAGCTCTGGTTGTGTTTGAGATGGAGTCTTGCTTTCTGCCCTGGCTATCCTGGACTGTGCACTCCTGTTTCTGATTCCCACACCGCCGAGATGGAAGACACACATTGCCATGCCTAGTTGATACAGGATCTAGAAAACTTTCCTTTGCCTAGGCTAACCTCAAACTGCAATCCTCCGATTTGCAGCCTTTTGAGGAGATAGGGTTACATTTGTAAGCTACTGGTGCCCAGCCTAGTCCCTGTCCCATTGACTCATTCCTGAATGAATGAATCAGTGGCCAGGAACTTGGCCATCCTCCCATCCTTCCCCACACTGGGACAATCTGAGCCCAGGTCTGTGGCAGGTTATGAAGAAAAGAAGCTGGGCATTTCGGAGTGCTGCCTTCCAGGTGAGGCCAAGGGGCACTGCCTTCATAAATGGGTTAGTGCCATGAGCACTGGAGTGGGTTGTGGTCTCGGCAGTGGGTCCCTAATGAAAAGCTGTTCAGCAAGTTTCCTTTGGGTCTTGCTGTCGGTGTTAGGACACAGCACAAAGCTCCTCGCTGGATGTGGGCGCTGTGCTCCTGGACTACCCAGTCTCTAGAACCATAAGCAAATCAAGCTTTACTGTTTGTGATTCACCCAAGCTATGGTGTTCTGTCCCCACCTCAGGTACCCCAGTTCCTTCGCTAGGGTCCTCAACCTCACACAGCATAGTGAGAGTCCCCAGGGGGACCAGGGCTGAGTAGATCCTAAAGACAAAGCAGAGAGTGTCTAAAGGGACGTCTGGATCAGGCCATCTGAGCCCCAGGCCCCCCAGTCTGAGTAGCCCCAGGCCTTGCGAAGGCCAGACTCATAGAGCTGACCCATGTCCTTCTCCAAGTGGCAGCTGTCTCTGGGGCCCCGACCCCTGGCACAGGTCCTGGGCATGTCCCAGTCACCCATCTGTGCCCTCCCCCATCCGGGCACCAGCACCCTGGCCGTGAGGGCCAATCGGGGTGCTGGCGAGGAGCAAGCTCTTCAAGGGGCCTTTCCTCCCCCAGAGCTATTCCTGGCCTGGGCACCTCCCCACCCTGTCCCCCTGCCTGACCTGACCCCACAGCTGGGAATGGTTTGTTGGGGGTGGGGCTACCTCTGACTATATAAGCTGGGACCTAGGTGTCCCAGGCACCCTGGAGGCCCAGACCCTCCACTGCTGACCCCCATCCACTCCAGCCTGACCCCCAGCCAGCCCGGAAATGACAGGAAAAGCCGCCTCCGAGGCCCCTGTCTCTGGCCCACAGGAGACAGCGCCTGAGCCTGCCAAGGTGCCTGCCACAGAGCCTCCCGGAGACACAGCAGCCTCTGGGGAGCAGCAGCATCCGGAGCCTGGGGCCTCTGCCGCCCCCGAGGCCCCGGCCACCCCCGCGGCCACTAAGCCTGCACCTCCAAGCGAAGGTGACCAGAGGCAGGGCAGACGGAGGGGGGAGGGAGGCAGGCATGCGGGGAGTGACTCTTGGCCATGAACTTCTGTATCTCACGTTGGCTTCTCCCCAGATGTCCCCAGCGCCCCCCTGCAGCTGACCGTGGAGGATGTGAGCCCCAACTCTGTGACTGTGAGCTGGGAGCCCCCTGAGAAACTGGGGCGGCTGGGGATCCAGGGCTATGTGCTGGAGTTCTGCAGAGAGGGAGGTGAGCACTTGGCTCAGCCCTTCACACGCCCAGCCACAGTGGGCTAAGAGGGGAGCAGGGGATGGGTCCGGCCCCCACAGATGGGGCACCCCAGAGATGCAGAGGGAGCTATGCAGGCCACCTCCTGACGTCCAGTAACCCCAAGAATCCCACTGGTCCTCAAGCTCCTGAGAGCCTCTGGGTATCAGAAAGGCGGGGGACCCTGG